TGAGCAGAAACTGCAGGGGATGGCAGACTTGGGCATTTGTGAGGAGCAGCCATAGACATGGGGGTCTGTCCACACAACATCCTGCCTGAGCTGCCTGGACCACACACACACACACACACACACACACACACACACACACATCATCTTGTGGCCTGTTCTGTGAGTTCTGCCTGCTGTGAGCCAGTGGGGTTCCGCTCCTGCACTGGTTCCCTGTCACCGGCCCCCACCAGCATGGGTGGGGTTGGGGTACATAGAGAACCTTCTGCCTCAGAGAGCAAAACAAAGAAGGAGAAGAAAGAGAAAAAGAGGCGAGAAAGGAAAAGGTACAAGCTCTCTCGTCACCCACAGCGGACGGCGAGGGGAGTAGGCGGTGTGTGGATCTGACAGGGATGTGGTGCTGGGTAGCTGTGCCACCCCCAAACAGTCTGAAGCCTTCCTGCCTCTCTCTATCTGCTCCCCCCCTCCCCCCCGCTATGTGTGGACCCCTGCCGCTGCCTTGGGTTGGGAGTCTCTGGGCTGAGAACTCACTCTCCTCACCCTGGCTGGTCCCCCAGCAAGTCATGTTATTTCCGGTTAGTCACTGGCCTCTCGGCCTCTCGGCCTGGCCCTTCCACATCTGTGAAGTGACAAGAGGCTTCTGTCCACACCTTCATCCCCCTCCCTTCCTGAGCACTGGCCTCCAACGACCTGGCTGGCAACCCCAGCAGAAATCGGAGCAGGGTTGGGCTGCCACGGTGTGGAACTGAAAGGAGGCGAGAGGAAGTGGCTAAGCTCACACCCTCGGCCCCCAAAAGAGCCCAGAACACACCTGTCCTGTGTCACCTAGTTAACCTGCTGGAGGACTTAGCGGGAGGGGGACGCCTGCCGCTGCCTCCCATCTCCCCCTCAGCTGATGCCTCTGCCTGCCCCCACCCTCTTTTTTTCCTTGTCCTCTCTCCCCAAGGATGCCCTCACGTATTCCGAGGTTTGCCTACCATCCACATACTATTCAGCCAGAGTCTAGAACCTAAGGACCAGAGAGACGGCTCAGTGGCTGAGAGCAGTTGCTGTTCTTCCAAAGTACCTGGGTTCAAACCCCAGCACCCACGAGGCAGGCTCACACTCCAGCTATGGAGGATCTGATGCCATCTTCTGATCTCAGCAGGTACTTGGACACACGTTCACACACACAAATTAGAACCTTAGGTCCATCGCTTCTCGGCCTTTTGGCTAAGATCAAGTGTAGAACCTTAGGTCCAGCCTCGTCTGGCTGCCAGTTGCTTCTTCTGAGGTCCTGGACTGGGCTTCAGGGCAGGAAGGGGTTAACACACACACAGTGCACGGCATCTCCCAGGCTGCCCAGGAGGAGATCCTGCCTGGACCAGTCTGTGGGTCCACGGAGCACAACTCTTCCTCCCAGTTAACGGTGGCCCAGCCCCCAGAGCCTCCACCTCCAGGTCTCCATCCCTCTCTGTTCCCTCCTGCTTTATTGTATACGTAGCCTCTTCCCCAGTCCTGACAATGCTGCTCAGGCTCTTTCTAGTCGTGTGGACGGTGCTCTTCTTGGATCAGACCAAACACACTGAGCTCAGGGCCTTTGCACTTGCTGGGCCGGTTGCCCAGGGCACAGTGAGAGGCTCCGTTCCTCACTGGCTTCATTGCTGCTGCGAGACGGTCTTAGTGGGAGGTCGCCCATCTTAGAGTCACAGTGCCCCACCAGGCACGTCGGATTGTCCCTTTATTTCTGGTCCAGCATTGCTTTTCCAGTGGCACTGGGAGCCTCATATTTACAGTTCTTGTCAGATACTGGCTCTATCCTAAGTGCTTTACCGATCCTGACTCGCTTGGTTCTCACAGCCGTCCAGGCACAGATGAGGAAAATAAAGACCAAACAGGTGTATCTTGCCCGGGGCCAGAAGGCTGCTCTGGTCCCTCGGCTCTGAGCCTGCCGCCAAATCCATCACAATGTCTGCAGGCTCACCCTTGCACCTCCATCTTTCCCGTTCTCCTTACCCCTACCACACGGGGCTTCAGACCAAACCTGTTCCCTTCCTTATTAAAGACAACGCTCTAACAACAAAAACTACGACCCCTGCCGGGCGGTGGTAGTGCAGGCCTTTAATCCCAGCACTCGGGAGGCAGAGGCAGGCGGATCTCTGTGAGTTCGAGGCCAGCCTGGGCTACCAAGTGAGTCCCAGGAAAGGCACAAAGCTACACAGAGAAACCCTGTCTCAAAAAACAAAAAACAAAAACAAAACAAGAAAACAAAAACAAACAAACAAACAAAAAAACTACGACCACAGTTTGATTTTTGTAAGACCTGTCTTTGATCATGTCTTTATCTAACTCAAAAACCTTGGCATTCCCCCCATGTTCCCACCTCTAACAAGCATAAGGATAACCATCTACCAGGCTAGGGGTCAAGGATGGGGCCCCAGAACCTCCCCAGCTGAGGAACCCCTTGCTGGTCCCTGCTCTTCCCAGGCTCTAGTTTCTCTTAGCTGTCCTGACTTGCTTGGCTACATTATCTGCTTCCTTTGAAGTGAGGGCTGGGGACCTGAACGGGACCTGAAGGCTCCTTGCAGAAAGTCTGTTGGGGACCCTTCCAGAGTGTTTCACACTGAAAAGGACAGAAACAAGAGGAATGAGTGTCTGGCGAATAACGGTGTAGCCGAGCCACTGAGAGTGGAAGCTAATGATTTCACTACACAGCATTGGTGAGAGCCTTCAGCCCATGCCAACAGCCACCAAGGGCTGATTGCATACCGGATAGTCCCTTAAGCCTTGCCATGCATTGCCACTGCATCTCTCTGCGGGCGCCCGAGACCAGTGCTAACTCTGCCCCCACTTTTAAATAGTGAGGAAAACGAGAGGGGGCCTTGCTTGTCATGCAGCTTTGAAACAGGTCTGCAGGATCGACGTCTGGCCTGTGCCCTGGCCATCAGATGCCAGGGCACACACGGTGCTGCTGCCACTTGTGCTGGTGATGCCAGAACGTCAGCGGAATATAAGGATTTTGCGTACCACTCCTTGCTCGCTTAAGTATTCCTGGACCACTTGCCTTCAGCTCCCAAATGTTCACATTTCTATATCTGTGCCATACACTGTTTTAACCCCCAGGTACATGGCAACGTAAAACGTCCCCAAATTACTCCTCCCGTAACTGATATTCTAGTGGGAGAGGAGATGGGGAAGAGAGAACTGAACAATAGAACTGTAAATATGAGGCTCCCAGTGCCACTGGAAAAGCAATGCTGGACCAGAAATAAAGGGACAGTCGGACGTGCCTGGTGGGGCACTGTGACTCTAAGATGGGCGACCTCCCACTAAGACTGTCTCGCAGCAGCAGTGAAGCCAGTGAGGAACGGAGCCTCTCACTGTGCCCTGGGCAACCGGCCCAGCAAGTGCAAAGGCCCTGAGCTCAGTGTGTTTGGTCTGATCCAAGAAGAGCACCGTCCACAGGACTGAAGCAGTGTGCACAGGTGTGTGTGTGTGTGTGTGTGTGTGTGTGTGTGTGTGTGTGTGTGTGTGTGTGTGTGTGTGAAGAGCAGGTGGGATACACAGACGTCAACACAGCAAGGCCTACATGAAGGCAGGCCCTGTATTAGGCCAGTCATCTGAGAAATAGTAATCCCAACAATCCGTGGAGTGCATTTCACACACCTGCAACTCAAAAAAAAACAAAACAAAAAAAACCCTGCTACAGTAGGATTAATGCCTAGACAGATGAGGAATCCCACGGTGCGGTGCGTGGAGACAGCAGCTACATTAGGGTGCTCAGAAACTTTGTAACAAGGGGAATAAAGAGGAAGAACGTAGGTACAGAGGGGGCGGGGCCTGGGTCAGCTTGAGCCGCAGTGCTAGGAGCCAGGGACGGGAGGAGGGCTGGGGCTGCAGAGCCAGGGGATGAGATGATGGGGGAGCAGAAAGTAATCTGCCGCTCCTCTCCAGAATTTGTTTCCCACCTCCTAGGAGATTCCAACCCTCCGAGCACCCTGCTCTCTTGCCAGCCCTGGGGGTGTGGGAGACAGGAGATGGCACAGTCAGCGAATCCTCAGTTTCTCACAGCTCCCGCCCTGGCAGAACTTCCTGTGTTCAGTGTGCCCTTGCCCCCCTAGGGCTTGCCATCCTCGGAGGATAGAGTCCTGCTCTCCACCTCCTTTTCATAGGGAGATGCTGCAGCTCAGAGAGGGTAAGGGCCTTGCCAAGGACACACAGCCAGAAGGTGGCCAAGTTGGGACTTGAGCCCAACACTTGAGATTGTGAATCTCCCGGGGGGCGTTAGGGGAACTGCAAAAAAATAGGAATTGGTGTTGACTGGACCCCAAGGGCGAGGCTGGAGGTAGATGGGTTCTGGAATGGGGAGGGTGGGATTGGAGTGATGGAGGTTGAGAGAAAACACAGATAGCATAGAGCAGGGAGAGAGGCTTTGAGACAGAACACGCCACATCTCCAAAAACACCTGCCTCGAGGTTGGAAGAGATAGAAGCAGCATTCTCCCAGACATGCCTGTGAGACAGGACAGGGAGGTGGATGCTATTGCTTCCGCTTACAGGTAGGAAGAGAGAGCAAGGGGAGATGGCAGGGGCCGGCCAAGGCCGGGGTGGGGGGCCCTGGTAGGAGGCAGAGTAGACAAGTCATCTAAACTTCCTCACTCTATGGGGACCGGTGAAATAGATGTGAGGAGTGCTGGAGACAAATCCAGGCCATCCAGGCAGGGAGGGGGAACAAGGCTGAGGCTGGTGGCTGCTGGCTCTGAGTGGAGGCCCTTTGCTGGCCCTGTGGACTGGCAGACAGTATCAGCTGGTCGGGTGTCAGGAGTCCTGGTGCCTCCTCCCTCCCCCGCGGACCCATCCATCCACCTGCTGCTCCACCGTGCAATGATCCCTGGTCCTCCGGGGGGCTGAAGTGTGTGTGGGGGGAAGCAAAAGAGGTGAAAGCCGCGTGTCTTGCGGGCTCTCAAGTCCGCAGCACCCTGCGTCCTCAGCATCCTCCTCCCAGGCCCTCCCCTCCCACTGTGTGCGGATGGTACGCTCCGGTAAGCCTGGCCGGGCTGCAGTGGATGTTGCTAGAATCCACGCGGAGGAAGGAAGAGACGCAGGCAGGCTGCGGTGACCCAAGCGGCCACCCCTACTTCAGGGACCCCTTCCTTGAGAGAGGACACCATGACCCAGGGAAAGGTAGGGGCACGTCCCCACCGCCTGCACCATCCTCAGCTCTCCGGACCCCTGCCTCCCTGCCATTCTGAGGAAGCTTTCTGGACCACTTTAAGCATCCTCTCCTGGCTCCAGTGCAAAGGTCCTAGTGGTCTTTGCTGATGCCAGAGGACCAAACAGCCCCTTTCAAAGAATGGGCCTAGGACTCTTCCCAACCCCGAGGTTTTCCTTGCCTCTCTTGTCTCCCACCGCTTACTGTAGCATCACAAACCCTTCACAGGTGCCCTAGGCCCTGTTAGGAGCCAGACTGGGAGAGGGATGAAGGGGGAGAGGGG